CCAATTGAGAACCAGATTAATATCTTCACATCTCTTAAGTACCGCGCACAGATTAGACAAGCTGGCGCCAAAGGAAGAACCATAGACAGAGAAGTCGTCCATGAATACTTCCACCATTTCTTCAATCAAGTCAGAGAATGTAGAAGTCACGCATCTTTGAAATGTAGCTGGAGCATTACATAATCTAAATGGCATTCTTCTATAAGCAAAAGTGCCATAAGGACATATGAAAGTGGTTTTCTCTTGATCATTTGGATGAATAGGAGTTTGAAAAAAACCACTATAGCCATCTAATAAACAATAGTAAGGATGATTGGCTAATCTCTCAAGCATTTGATCAATGAATAGCAAAGGATAATGGTCTTTTCTAGAAGCAACATTCAATTTCTTATAGTCAATGCACATTCTATGTCCTCTTATAGTTCTTGTTGGGATTAGCTCATCTTTATAATTCTTTACCACTATAATTCCTCCATTTTTAGGCATCACATAACTGCTGAGATCCATGTACTGTCTGAAATGGGGTATATCACGCCAGCGTCCAGGAATTTTGAGATCTCTCTCTTCACTACTTCTTTAAGGTTTGGGTTTAATCTTCTTTGGGGTTAAGTGGATACTTTTTTGTCTCATCCTCATGATGAATTCTGTCAGTACAAAGGTTAGGAGATAGCCTTTGATATCATCAAGTGAGTATCCAATGGCTCTCCAAAACATTTTTAACTCTTTAACAAGAGCAGAGACTTCGTCATCATTTTTTCATTGACAATTACTGGATAAGAAGAGTTAGAGTCTAATGAAACATACCTTAGCCCTTTGGGAAGTAGCTTGAGGTCTAGCTTAAGAGCCTTGAGTTCGCTCTAATCATCATCTTCATGAGGGCAATGCAATGTGTAGCCATGAAATTTTTCTCATGCTGAACAGAACGGTTCATCTGGTAATTGTGTGAAACTTGATATGTTCTGCCTCAGAGTAGCTGTCCGTGTAGAAGAGTAAAACTTGGCAAGAAACACTCTTTTGCAATTATTCCAATAACATATGGATCCATAAGGCAAAGCTCTTTCCCACAAGTGTGCACAATCACCAAGAGAGAAAGGAAATAACCTCAGTTTGAAGTCATCCTCCGTGACACTACTTATCCATTGTAAGCTGCAAATACTCTCAAAACTGTCCAAGTGATCAAGCGGATTCTCCATAGGTGAACCATTGACGCGGTTGTCTTATACCATTGCAATCACACTGCTCTTGATCTCAAAGTGATGCTCTTAAGATGGTGGAGGTAGGATACCTCTGCGTCTACTATGAAGGTAAGGAGCATCATCAGAACCAATGTGTTGCGCTCTTCTAGCAATATGAGGCACTGACCTGTGTAACCTCTGAACCGGAGCTTCATCTTCTATAAATGAGCTTGATGAGCAGGTCCATGATGGTTTGGATCAGACATGGTACCTGAGAAAACAGAACAAGAAACGTAAAGTAATTAGAATGTAATAAGCGGTTAAGTCTAAGCAAGAACTTAAACTCAATTATCCAAACAGTCCTAGAATGGCAACGGTGAAGAGAAGACTTTTGCAAGTCAGAAATCAATTTCTGTTCTAATCAATTGTAGTATAGATGAGGTTATCAATCCAAACTAGGAGTTAGCTAAAAGAGATGCAAGGAGCTTAGCTAATCTTAACCATTTTGATGAAAAGGGGGTTTTCTAACAACCTAAGTGATTAAGAGAAAATGCACAAGTAACTGAAGTATCTAAGAAAGACCAAAGCAAGATATTAAATGCAAGTAAGCTTAATGCAACAGGAACAAGGGAAGCAAGATGATGGAAAAGCAAGTACTAAATAGAAACTAAATGCAATAACTTGAAATGCAAGGCAAGAAATAAAACAAGAGCAATGCAAATGAACAGAGAGAAAACAGAGCACAAGTAATTAAGTGCAAGAAACAAAATAGCAAAGGTTCAAGGCTAGATCAATGGATGACTTGGGGATTACTTACCTTCATACTCAGGGAAGTCAAAACTATCAACAAGCAAAGAACATAGTCAAACCACAGATTCAATCAATTTGCATCAAGGCAAATATGTCTAAGCAATGCACATGTCAAACCCACTTTTTATGGTATATTTGTATAAAACCAGCATGACAAACAACTCTTAATTAAGGACCAAACAATCCATTATGATGCAATATAATCATCTAAGCAATTGTCCCTAACTTAGTTCTTCAAGCATTTAAACAAAGACTTGTGATGCAGCAAACACTTATGATCTATTTCACTCTAACAAATTACTCAAGCCTTAAAAACAACTAAACAAGGCATACCAAGCAAGTATTAAGCAAAAATCCCCTAAGTAATCAACTAATCATCTCCAAATCTGCTCCAACCTTAAACCATGAAAGACTACTCACTAGTCATCTCAAAATCAACAGAACAAGGCGAAAAGAATAAAACAAATATGATCAAACAATAACTAGAAGGTAAATAACAAGGGAAAGACAAAACTTTATTAAAAAGAGTGATCTTGGATCAAAATCTCATAAATCTCTTTGTGGTTTCTCACAGCTCAAAAATATTGAGATTATAAACAAGATAAACCCCCAAAAAGGATAAGCAAAAGCTAATATAAGTGAAAAGATAAGGTTTGGGCAAAAGTGGAAAAAGTTGGTCAACAACACGGAGTTGACGCATCAGGCAGTATGGACAGATGTTCTGCTCGATATGTCATGCTCGATGCAGCCTTTCTCTGTCACGGTTCAATCATCCGGATGGTCCTTCGTCATGAAATAGGTCTCGGGTCATGTCAGGCAAGGCGCCAGGGGGTTCTGCTCGATGTTGGACCTTGATATGTCCTGTTTCACCAAATCGGCTTGTACGGCCTCCTCTGTCCGACATGCTATCCCGATGCAATCGTGGACTTCACAATAAAACCTCCCACCCTTCGTCCTGCGGTTTACGCCGGGCATGCTCTATAGGTGTTCTAGTCCATGCCCCACCCCGATATGGGATCAAAATGTGCAAGACAGCATCTCCATAGCATTTCCATGGGCGTCTACAGCTCCAAACTCCTTCCAAAGCTCCTAAGCCTCCGAATACACCTGAGATACACCTCAAATATGCAAATATATGTGTTTCTAATCTAAATGTATGCATGGTTACTTCTAGATGCAAATGGGACTAAAAAGACAATATATGATGCAAGAATAAGAGAAAGTATGTACAAAATACAGCTTAAAACACTATAATATAGCAAGCTATCACCCTCACTCTCTTTTCTGAAAGATTTTTCTTCTCCATCTCAGGCCAGAGTCTCTGGTTGAGCTCGCAGAGCCTATTGACGTCAACGTCAAAACCAAGAAGGTCCTTCCTGAGACTAATTTTCTCTGCAAATTGAAGAACAGCATAGTCAATATTTTGACGTAAATAAATCACATTCAACAAAAAACAGAACAAGCCTAACTACCAGGCCTAAGTCTCCAAACTGTATAAGGATCGAGCTCAAAGTTACCGATAGATGCCTCATTACTTTTTACAAAAAAAAGTAAAAACTATCCCACTCATGCACTTTGCTCGTCGGATCTCTGCTGACGATACCAAACTTTAAAGAGGTATAGAAGTGAGGGAAACCACTCGAACTATCCATCCTCCCGCTCTTAAGAATAGAGATCCTCTCGAAGATGTCTCAGTTGAAAGGCACCTCGGCTGCCCGTGCGACCGCCACCATACAGTTAAAATGTCAAATTGCAGCATACAAAAGCTGCCCTAGCGGGATTTTCCTTAATAGCGAATAAGGAGCGGTGAAATCGGAAAGCTGAGTCCGAAGTCCGTGAAATGGTACTCATAAATGCAGAAGTAACCCTTTGGAGGCTTCAACGCCCTCTCATGAGGTTGGGGAAGCAAAATATCGACTCCATGGGGGAAATTGCATCTCTGCCGCAGTTCATGTAGTCTGGAAGCAGTCATCCAAGTCCTGTCATCTTTTATCCTGTCTTCCTTTACCCCCATCTCGTGCTTCGGCATCTCATTTTTTTAAGGCAGACCTCTGACCCGAGCTTGTAGACCAGCACCCTCCAACTCCATTTCGGAGTCTATATTGGAATCACCTGAAGGAATTTCGTTGCGATAACCCAAAGATTCATCAGAAATCGACGGAGAAATACAAACCGTGTTTGACCTCGACCATCTGGCATGCTCAATGAGAAGGATATCGTCTTCATCTACTACATTTCCCTTACCTTTTGGGTCGGAAGAACTCATCAACGTCGAAGAAAATGAGGAGGAGATTCGACAACTGGTTAGGAGCAAGACTATTGTGAAGTCAAGCAGAGGATAAACAAAAAAAAAATTTGCAAAAACGATGGAGTAATGTGATTAAGAGATGAAGATTTTTTCCCCGAAATTCAGGAAGACGGAGAGATAAAGCTTTAGCAAAAGCAAAGAAGAAATATCTTCGATTTCCTTAGAAAACACATGTAAAGATTTTCAGAATCTCGCCGTTTGAAGACCTTGGCCCTTCCCGCCTACTACGAAATGCTAAGTTAAAATGGGCTACATGAAAAGGCCCATTTCAGCAAAAAACAATATTGAAACGACACTTTTCAGGTCTAAAGACCAAGGATGGGCTGAGCTAAAAATTGTAAAAGATACTCTCGATGAGCTGACACTTATTGCGAGATCAAACCAATCCGCTTTATGAAGTCCGCCGAGCTGATTTGCAATCATCTGGATGAACTAGGGGGGGGGAGGGGTGGGGGGGGGGGGGGGGGGGGAAGGGGGTGGAGTTTATTGTTAGAGGAGAAATGAGCACGTTTCTTAAAAGGTTTTATCTAGCAATAACCTAAACCCATCAAAACAAGAAGGATCACGCCAACCTATCGAATTAAAGGAAACCATTTAAAAGTAATAACTATTTTTCATATAATCACGGAAAAATGATATTTTCATATTGCAAAATATGAGAATTATTTTCAAAGGAAAAAAAGAAAAAGAGTATGCGACAACCGACCTTTCATTCCTACAAATAGAAGACTTTGAACAGCTCAAAGATCAATTCATAATCTCTACAGAGCAGAAGAACACCCATCCTTTATAATCACTATGCCTTTAAACTCTTAATAAAGATTTGTTCTTCAAAACCTACAACTATTAATTACGTATTCATATAGCTGATTTTCTTGTTTTAACAAAAAAATTTATCGAAAAGGAAAACAAAAACAAATTCTTAATAGAAGAATGAAATATAGAAGACAACTCAAGACTTTGGAGAACACGCCAAACACCAACGATGTGTTCAAAAAGATGCGGTGCAACAGATGCCAAGAACCACATATTGACGATACAGCTGAAATAAAGAAAAAGTAGTCTAATTATTCTTCAAAGACGAATGAGATCAACGAACAGAGAGGTGATATGATCTTTGAATGTCCCTTCTGGAAAAGTGAAATTTTCGTCCCCGTTTCTGTAGCTGTAAACTACCATTTTCCCAAATCCTGTAGCTCGTTTTAGGGTTTCGCGTGGCACTGTCTTTGTTTCCAACAATATCTCCTCGTTTATCTGTTTATCCAAGTCCCTAACCATTTTCTTAAGCTCCACGAATGCTTCCTCCTCGGTAACTCCGTACAGACTCATATAATAGTTGATGGCATTCGCTTTATACCCTCTGCTCATGTCATCCTGTTAGATTCCTTATTAATTACTACTCTTGTCTTCATCATCAGCACAAAAAAAGAAATACTGATCATGTTATTGTAATTACCTTGAAGCCAGTCATGTCATTCATAAGCCGACCCCTTGCAGCCTGAGCCACAACTAATTTCGGTCTGGATTTTAGCCACTCATAAGCTTCTTCCCTAGCATTTTTTCGTAGCCCTAGAAAAACGCATGCTATAGATACATACATCGTCACTTCGGCTCCCCCAACCGCCAAGAATTCATCGAATGTTGGCACCACGTCTGATTGTGCCCATTTGGCGTAGGAAAGGTTAGCTCTCATAAATTTCTTGAACTGCGTATTTGGTAGGAGAATAAACTAGAATTTTAACATCTACTTCATCATTGAATTTATGATACTGAGCTTTGTATGGTACTTATATATATTACCTCTTCAAGGAAACTTTGCACATTGTATGACAATCCTTCTTCAGATCTGCCATCACTTTGACACTTCTCGAAAACATTCCAAGTAAACTTGAAGACAGTTTTCATAAAATCTGGTAAACTTTCCAAGCAATCTAGATCCCACCTGAAGATAGATACCGAGATTTCTACATCTATATTAATATTAACATTGAACTTTTTTTTTTGTTGCTATTCCTACTTCTTTTGCATTTGATAGCCTCGTACGACTTTAACCCCCTCGTGTGTCAGAACAAATAGACATGAAATGCTATATATATATATATATATATATATATATATATATATATATATATAAAAGGAACTATAGATATATGTAGCTTATGATATGCAGCATATTTAACATAACGTAAAAGATAAGAGCATTTTTTTAACACGTGAGAGACTTTTGAGTAGGATTTTCACATTTTGAAAAACTCAAACGATAGTATAATACTATTATTTAAGAAATTTTGTAAGAGATTTTAATGAGGATGCTTTTAGAGCATCTTACTTAATCAACATATATATTTCTTAAAATATATTTTTCATCTATATTATTATAGGTTAATAAAGTAATAAAAATGTAACTATAAAAATGATTCAAGCACTCAAACAATAGAACTGTATTTAGCTGTTTCTATAGATTTTTGAAAGTTTCTCAAACAAAACAAGAAATATTTTTGTGTCTCTTTAAATATTTTGTGTCTCTTTCCTTTTTTTAATATTTGTATAGTGTTGAAAAACGACCGATCGAAATGCTTTTATCGCTTAAATTGTAAGAGACCCTCAATAATTAAAATCTTGACCAAAATGTCATGGTTGAAAATGCTATTATTTAATATTTTTTAATTTTTTCTAGAAGATTTTTTATTAATGTAATTAGAGAATAATCCAGATTTTTTAACACTCGACTAATCCCTCTTAAGATTAGGATGAGTATAGTATAGCCTTCTACTAGCCAATTCACCAGATTTTCTAATAGACTTAAAACATGATATCATTTCGAGTGGCCGTTTTGACTTAAATAATTTTGGTTTTGAGGAAAATCAATCCCAGCTAACTTAAATCAACATGACAACTCCTTAAATGGAAATTACTAGACGATCACTCTATTACTAGACGATCACTCTATAACTAAACCATCACTCTATTATGTTTCACTAAGATTTTTCTTTCATAGTTAAGTGCCTTTGGCAACTTCTCTCAGATAAAAAAGGGGATACTCGTAATAGCAAATAGATGAACAAAAGAAGGCGCTGATGATACCTCTCCACGCAATGAACAAGATCTGTAATTTCAGAAACAGACCCATATCTATCACACGTGTCGTCAATTACGGTGAGGAGGTCACCGAAATAACCAAATGCAGCTCTACCACGTGAAAATCGTGGCTCGAAATATACGAGCACTGCATATAAATAGCACTCGACCGTTCTGTCTCTGAAAAAAGGTGGGAGTTTAGACACAAGCTCTTGCTGCTTCCACCATCTGCAAACACGTGAATGACTATTGTCAGCGCGTATAGTAACAATCGTTAAAAACACAGCGAGAAGCAACACATGCTTATCTGTTATTTTTTTCTTTCAAAGCAACACGTACTTGCTAAGAGTTTTAAGTTCTTGAATCCAGTTTAGCTGCAGGAACTTGAAATTTATCTTAGAAAATCTGAGTAGCATCTCGTTGTGATCCTCTTCTTGTTCATAGAATGAAATGTATTCCCTAGTGAATACCATTTCGACATTGTAATGCTGAGGCATGCGAAGAGCATTTCGTATACGCACTGAGATATGGGAAGGACTTGCTCCAGCTGTAGCTAACGTCTTCAAGTTGCTCGTCGTGAATCTCAATGCTTCATCCAAAATATAGTCTGTTGGTGTGCCCAAGTGAGCGGCTTCATACAAGCTGACCATGCCCTTGGCATCCCCGCTAAGACATTCCTTAAACTTTCCGTTTTCGCCTTTGAATCTCTTAAACACGTCTGTTTTTCAAGAGAAGCATATTATTATAAATACTATAAATCAATGAATAGAAAATAGGTTCTCTTCGAACATATGACGAACCAAGCCTAGCTGGAGTTTCTAAGAGCCGTCTTTTATCACGTGCGAACATAATCCCGGATTTAAAACAAAAATTTACTTAAGCCAATTTTAACTAGATATATGGATTTAGGGCGTAAAATTTTCCAGATTTTTTATTTTATCATATTAAATTTCCCTTTAGTACAAAATACTTTGAATTAATGAATTAGAAAATGACTTCTACGGAAATGAGTCAAACCAAGCCTAGCTGGAGTATCTTACCGGAAGACATGTTATAACCGTACTTTCTGAAAACCCAGAAGATGGTGGAAACCGTGCACAAATCATGTTCACCGGCCAATATATCCTCTATATTTTCAAAATCCACTTTTAGACTCTCCTCGATCTCATCCTCGAAAAGATACATCAGACCGAGGCACACCAGCAAATAGATCAAAATGATTCTATTCTTAATCGAGTCAACACATTGGGAAGACATGAGCATGCCGCCCACTATTGGCTTTAGTGCCTCGATCTCTTTCCCAAGCATGTCCATTTCCTGGAATAAGACACGTAAGATATATATATATATATATATATATATTAATATATGTACTCCATTTGTTTCTTAACATATTATTTTGTTTAATAAATTCAACATCTTACGCTAGCATTTTTATTTCTTGTTTTTATTTATATTTATATTACTACTACTATATATTAGTAACAATTATCAATTAACTAAATTATAATAACTAAAAATTAAATATTATTTAAAAAAATATTTGTTTTATTTCTTATTTTTTACTTTTATTATTTTTTGGAACAAATATATATATTTTAAAACAAAAAAACTTAAAATAAAAGAAAATGATAAATATACAACACAACAAATAAAATCATATTTTTTAATTCGTTACAAAAAATTCATATTGGATAAATATTTTGTTAAAAAGAATATGAATTATATGGCTACTTTATAAATTACTTAAAAGCTTTAAAAAATAATTTATAATTATTTTTACAAAGCATTTATAAAATGTTTATAAAGCGTTTATTAGGTAATTAAAAATATAGTCAGTTTTTCTTTATGTTCAAATTAAATGAACCAAATCTCTATTTATAGAATATGAAAAATGTTAAATTTTGGTACATATATAAAAAAAATTATATGTTTGATATTTTATGAAGTAATTGATCAAAACTTATTCGGATGAAAAAAATTAAAAAAAAACATCTAAACAATCAATAACAAAAAAATTAACAAAATTAACACCTAATGATATTAGGACATGTGGCACTCTCTCTCTTTCTCTTTGTGCTTCAAGAGGTTGAATAAATTCAACACCAAATAATCGACATGTAACACTCTTTTCAACTTTCCCATTGTAGCTATTCAATAGTGAAATTTGTCATTCAATATCTTTATTGTAAATAGTCTTAAAGGAAAATTTTTTGAGGTTTTCACAGTTTTTAAGAAATCTGTCATTCAATACCTTTATTGTAAATGTAAATAGTCTTAAAGGAGAAATTTTTGAGGTTTTCATAGTTTTTAAGAAATTTGTCAAAATAATTTGTTTATTAATGATATTAAAAAAAACAAAGAACAAAAAGTAAGAACAAAATATGTACTATTTAACGAAAGATGTATTGGAAAATAAATAAAAAAATATTTTTTTTTTTAAACATATTTTTTTCCAATATTACTTCTTTAAGAAATAGAGGAAGTATTAGACTAACCGAGGCATCCACATGAACAGAGAGGAAGTGATGAGGCCATGGAGAAGGTGGAATCTCCTTAAACGTCCGAGTATTTTCTTTAACATCACCTATATGAGATGGAGAGGCCTTCAACCTAACAGGCTTTCCAGGCTTACCAGAAAATGATATGAGGGGAAAGCGAGAGAGTTTGCATACTGAGATCAAATTAGAGCGAGAGCGAAGAGAGAGATGAGATTTAGGTGTTGGTCCAAAACTAGCTACGGTTTCCATGTTCATGAGAAATGATATTGATGAATCCATTTCAGCACAGATTTATAGACAAAATTTGATTCTTCGCCCCATAAGGACGTTTAAGGAAATATCTAGAACTATAACAATATCTTATAATATAAATTTAAATGTGTCATTATAATCCGATAAGTAACGACAAATTTTTAATTAATTAGATTATCATTTAGAGATGGGTAAAGTTCGCACACCCTGGAAATGTAGGAAATATATGTCTTGACAGTTTTATTTTGTTCCTTAGTAAGTTGGAGATTCCTTAGACTGTTAGACACACTTGAATTACTTAGTCTTAGAGAGATAGCTTGACATGCTTTCAGTAATTTTATGATTTTGAATAGAGATCTAATTGTTGGATCATTCTCAGACCATTTCGGTATGATGAAAGGTAGTTATCAATCTATTTTGACTGTAACTGATAATAATAAATTGAAATATAAAGAATAAATAAAATAAATTTATGTGGAATAGAAAAATATGGAATAGAATAGAAATTGAATTTCTTTTATTCTTTAGCATTTTTCAAGTGGAATAATTTCACCAACAAAAATTGTTTTTTCCTTTGTGGAATGAATGGAATAGGTGGAATGATAATTCATTTTATTTCCTTATGTTAATAATTTTGTGAAATTTCATGAAATTTTCAATTCCACATGATTTTATTCCTAAGTTCGATCAACGGGAGGGAAGTTCTTTATTTGATGTCAAACTTCTGCTACTCTAAATCTGTCCAAACACAAGTTTTGTTATATTTTATAGAGATAATTTTTAAAATGACCCACTTGACAATTTTATAACAAAACATGATCATTCATAAAATGACTCATAAAAGAGGTCTACTAGTGTGTTTTTTATCTGTCATTAATCCGCCAGTAATTTGTATTTAGTTTGTCAATAGTCTACATTCAATTGTAAGACTAATTAGTCTACCAGTAATCTGTATTCAATCTGCAATTAGTCTGCTATTAGCCTACAAGTAAAAACAGTTAGAAGGATAGCGCTGATATTCAAAAAAATTATAATATAAGGATCATTTTCACATTTTTTTCTCAATGGAGTACATGTTTCATATTATTTTCTCATTCTGTGTTATTTTAGAGCATTTTTTCTATTTTGTATTCGTTTTATCTACATACTGAAAAGAATATGAACACTATAAATTCTCTAAAATTATTTTGAGCTTGAAAATATGAGTTAAACACTTATTCAAGTGTTCAAAAACCTTAAATAAAAACGATAAAACATAGTTGTATAAACTCTCGAAACTTAGATCTTTTGTTTGTCTAAACATAAAACGAAAATCAAAATAAATAAAAGAGGTTTTAAAACACAGAAACTCACCAATACTTCAGAACAACCAATTCCACCAATAACCTGTTGAACCACATAACTCATAATCGAACTCAGAAAATGTTTTAATCTACTTACCGGAAGCTTAGCGTTTGTCCCTTATACAGCTCAAAATGCCTTCGAGAAATTGGAGCTCTGTAATGTTGACCCATTTAGTAAGTTAGGCGTGTGGTCTCATCAAGGAAGTACCAATCAAAGAATTTCTAGAGTCTTTCCCTTTAAAGTCACTGAACACACATATAGTCTTTCCACAAATCTCTTTCCTTATTTCTTACAAGTCCATTTCTCCCTACTTTTCTAGGGTATCATTTTATTTTTTCTATCAACTTTTATTTTCTCTTCTTTTTTTGCAAGACATGTATTAATACAAGTTTTAAAAACTCAGGTAACTGTATATGCTTTTAGAGCATGTAATCTATTTTAACAGAAGATCAAAGAGAGATTATAGAAACTTGTTTTGACGGTGCTTAGAAGAAGAGTACGGTTTGATACATACAAGATGAGAAGTTTAATGTTCAATGAATTGCAGAAGTCAACGCAAGATTTTTTAAATGCCCATAATAAATTTGAACTTTCTCTGGTAGATCCATCTTCTTGTTTTATTCAGCTTAGTAAGGTTTTCTTCCAATTTCCGTGAGAATGATCATTACGCTGCTTGTTTGGCAAGGTTGGTTCCAAGAAAAGTTATTAGTTTCCACTAAAAAGTTTTGACTCAATAAAACGACTCAAGAAAAGAAAATGAAAAGACTCAAACGAAAGAAAAATGGCTAGTAATAGATGAAATCCTCCCCTAGACTTACATTTCTTTAGAGTTTATAGAGTTTTTATAGATAATCTGAAGAACTGGAGCAATAATGGGCTTTTTTATATTAATAGGAGATTGGACAGATGCAGGATCAGCGGACAACTCAAGCAGGACATCAGGAGACAGGAAGTCATGTAAGCTTGTAGCTAATGTGGAACTGATGACCTGGCGTTACAAGAGATAGATTCAAATCTACCTTAAAGAGCACTCGAAGATATTCGATAAATGGGAATTTTGCTTTAAGGGAGATTTAGAAAAGATTCTAGGTTAGTATAAAAGAGAAGTCGGGCAAAGTTTGTTACACACACTTTGCGCCACAATTGTAATAGGTTATCTTTGAGCTTCAAGAGCAAACACGAAGCAAGAAGTTTAGTGTCCTCTTCTCTGATACACGGGCTGTGTGATCAAGTGAAAAATGGTTTTTATAGCTAGGAGTCTATTGGGGGGGGGGGGGGGGGGGGGGTGCAGTCTAGGTTAAAGTTGCATAAATCCAAACTATTGTAATCAGCTTGATTAAGTTGTTGATTCTATAAAATAAAAACTAAGCGTTGGTACCTCTAATGTCAGAAGGACTTATGGATACGCTGGCTTCTCAGTTTGAGATGCTAACCATGAGACCAGGAGAGTCGATTGAGCACTTTAGTGGTAAGCTCAGTTCTATTGCAAACGAGGCTCAAGTATTGGGAAAAACGCACAAAGACAAGAAACTGGTTAAAGAGTTTCTGTGAAGCCTAACTGATAAGTTTCAGGCCCACATATCAGCTATTGAAGTTTCAAGAAACTTAGATGAGATGAAGTTCAACGAAATTGTGGGAATGATGCAAGCATATGAGATGCAGCAATCGCAGAAGAACCAGGCGAAAGGAAAAAGTGTAGCTTTCTCCGCTGAACAAGGTGAGCCTCAGGAAATCAATCTCGATGATCAAGTTGGACTGATTGTCAGGAAATACTTTAAGAAGTATGACATAGGACAGCGCAAGTCAGGTTATAAAGTAAGAAGACCAGGCTCTGATTTTAATTCTGAGCAGGGATCAAGAAAATCAGAAATGCAGTGTCATGAATGTGAAGGGTATGGACACTTCAAGACAGAATGTCCAACAGCCAAGAAGAGGACGACTTTCAAGTGTCAGAAGTGCAGAGGCTATGGGCATGTCAAGACAGAGTGTGTCACTCAAGACATACACAAGGAAAAATCATAGATCAGCAAGGAAGAGTCTCACTCAGATGGAAGTGAAAGCGGTGAAGATTCACTACTGAACTATGTAGCCTTTCTCGGGGTGGTTGAAGAAGGTGCAGATTCTGGAGGAGACTCTGATAAGAACGATGATTTTGATGATGAGGAGATCTTGCCAGAAGAGAACATGACTCTATGTCTTGCCATGGTCAATGCAAGTCAAAAGAAAGAGAGTCTTCTACAACAGATTTCTGATAAGGATGGACAGATCGCGAAGTTGCAAGATAACATTCAGACCAACGCTCAGATAATTAAAGAAAAGGATGACAAGATTTTTGCATTACAGTGTGAAATTGAGGTTGCTGAAAACGATGGTATAAGTCCTTTTTATTGAGTATTTTTGGTCTTTTTAGAGTCTTAGTAGAGTCTTTGCAGGTTATAACACAACTGGAGCACAATTGGAGATTATGGAGCTTTTTGGAGCATTGCAAGATGAAGCCACGAAGTGTGCAACTCAGAAGGCGAATGATGGCTTGGGTGACGCTCGTCACCCGTAGATGGGAAGGATCGTGACTTGTTTTTAAATGATGGAGGATTATTTGCAGAAATAACCCAGAAGTTTCCAGTATTTGCAAGAAGACCCAAGCTCGTGTTTTAACTTGTATATATTAGGTTTTCAGCCATTGTTGGCTTTTATCTTAGATTTTAGAATTCAGAGAGCTTTAGGGGGAGATTTATTCAGAGCTTTTTGGGGAGACAGATTCTGTACTCTTTTGAGAAGATTTCGAACCCCTTTAACTTTTACTCTTTCTCTTTAATGCAATTTTATTCAGCTATGCTTTGTGATTCTATGATCATATCTGAGTAATCTGCTAGTTAAGTTAAGGCTTTTCAAGGGTTGATGAATAGTTTGTAGAAATCGCCACATGTTAGGAATATATGTTGGTTCTTCATTTGTGCTTGCTTTAAAACCGATTTTCTTAGACACATCATCTGGAATTTCGAAACCTAGGTTGTTTAATAAATGTGAGAGCATTATTGATAACTTGATCTAACATTAGATAAGCAAAACGACTTAGTGCAAAGAGATTTGGCTTAGGAATTTTGTGAACAATTGAGCCTGATCATTACTGCATGTTTAGGTTGTTAGAGTTTGCAAAGAGATTTGAAACTCTGTGATTTAGACATAGTTAACTTCTGTAATGAGAATTGATTAGTTATATATTTTCGATTCATGTTCAAGACGGTTCTTAATCAATCCTGATTTCATACATTCTGCATTCTCGGATTCAACATGCGAATTGTCCTGACTTAGCGCTTTTAGTCTTATGAATCTTAGATCAATCAAATTTTATTTGCTTTTATTGTTTTAGCTATTTCGCATTACATTTATTATCTACTGCTTCGCCTAGTCCGAATCTATAATTGTTAGTGTAGTTTACTTACTCCCTTGGGATTCGATAACCCTATATACTACAACTGCTTTGCTGTGCACTTGCAGTAGTTAAATAATTGGGTAAAATGTGAGCCCTATCAAGTTTTTGGTGCCGTTGCCGGGGAGTAATAGCTACCTATCAATTTTTAGTAAGGATTTTGTCTAAGTTTTAATTTGTTTACTAACTTTCTGCTACTTTTCTTTGTGCTGGTTTCAGGTGTATGCCTAATCCCAGTACCAGAAGCAACAGAGAGAAGGAGCTGCTGGGCGTTTTGTTCAGAGGACTCTAAGGGA